GAGAACGGCTAACGTGCTCAGAGGCTTATCGTGCGGTACCGATCAAATTTCAAGGAGTCACCATCAAAGCTGATCTCTATGCGCTATCGTTGGTTGGACCCGACGTTGTGTTGGGTGTACAATGGCTCGAGGGATTAGGAAGGGTGACCACGACTACCGAACCGGGGTTATGGAGTTCAACTCAGGGGAGCACCGGGTCACGTTATGGGCTAACAAAGACGGCAGAACCAAGAAGTTTGGCCTCAAGAGTATTGAGCGGGTTTGGTACGGAGGTGGCCAGATCTTCACCGTCGAGGAGGCAGGCACGGTCGAGCCAGTCAAGTACAAGGAGCTCCCTCGGTTCGACGACTACTTCAAAGAGGACGAGCAAGTCTCGATGGATTATGATGGCCCACCTATCTTCGACGTATACCCCGAAGATGAACTCATGGACGTTGAAGTAATTGAAGAAGCCAAGGTCGAGGTAACTAAGGTCGAAGGCGAGGTGCACGAGGTTTGGACGATCGAGCAGCAGCAATCCAATATACGCGAGTTGGTGAGAGCAACCGACCGCGTACTAAGCAAGTCCGACAAAGAAGAAGGCATGATCGATGAAAAGTGTAAGGAGCCTATCATTCTGTTTGCATTCTCGAAATATTTTACAGATGTAAGGCCCATCGAGTACGAGTCAACGGATTATGAAGGGCCGCCTATCTTTGATGTATACCCCGATGAGTACTTTGTCGAGGACGAAGGAATTTTGGTTGAAGTCAAGAAGAAGATATCGGACGTGATCGAAAAAGACTGCAGTAAAGAGACGCATGATGTGAACGAGGTGAGGACGCCCTAATTAATGGTCGATGACAAGTCTTTGAGGACAAGGACGTTCTTAAAGGGGGCGAGAATGATACGGAAGTGGGTATTGACCCTCGATGATGAGAAAGGCCGAGGGCCGAGGCTAATGGACAAGGCCAAGCGAGGGGCGCAAACAAGGCTTGCATGGCCTAAGAGACATGCACGAGCCCGTATACGAGGGTGCTGACGTGCGCAATGGCATAGGAGGTCGAGCAAAAAGCTCGGGAGATTAAGGATTGAAGGGTCGAGCGCATGGATGTGCACAAGGGCACGCGAGAAGGTAGTCCATCGACGTGCAACATTAGGGCAATGGAGGAAAGACTACGCACATTGGACCAGGGCCGAGTGTACGATAGCAGACTCGGGCGATGCGGTCGACTGGTGCAAGGCGTGCGGAAGGGAGCGGCGCGCACGACGCTTAGAGGCTAAGGCCTCAGGGGTTTACATTGCTGAGGGGAC